ACTACTAACTACTAACTACTAACTACTAACTACTAACTACTAACTACAACTACTACTACTACTACTACTACTACTACTACTACTACTAACTACTACTACTACTTCTACTACTACCACTACTACTACTACTACTAAACTACTACTACTACTACTACTACTTTACTACTACTACTACTACTTTACTCCTACTACTACTACTACCACCACCACTACTAGTGCACTACTACTAACTACTACTACTACTACTACTACTACTACTAGTTCTTCTTCTACTTCTACTTCTACTACTACTACTACAACCACTACCACCAATGCTACCACTACTACTACTACTACTACCACTACTACTACTACTACTACCACTACTACTATTACTGCTACTATACCACTACCACTACCACTACCACAATCACTACCACTACCACTACCACTTCTACTTCTACTACTACTGCTTCTATTATGACCACTACTGACTAGTACTTCTTCTAACTACTGCTGCTACCACTCGTACCTCTATTACTACAACTACAGCTACTATTACACTGACGACTTCTACTCAGGCTACTATCACTACTGCTACTACTAATACCACCACCACCACCACTACTACTACTACTGCTGATGCTGCTGCTGTTACTGCTATGTCAACTAACTACTAGTAACTACTACTAACCACTACCAACAACTACTAACTACGAACTACTACGACTGCTGCTGCTACTACTACTACCACCACCACCACCACTACTACCAGTGCCACTACTACTTCTACTACTACTACTACGACGACTACTACTACTACTACTACTACTACCGCTACTGCTTTTGCTTCTGCTTCTGCTACCTACTACGACGACTACTACTACTACTGCTACTACCACCACTACTACTACCACCTGCCAATAGCTGCTACTGCTATCCTAGTAGCCGCCCTTGCGCTTGGATTTTGAGCCATTTTGAAGCATGGAAAGATGAGGTTTTTTTGCACTCGACACATAAGCAGCGTATGGGGCCGGCTTTATAGGAAATCTTCCCAGCAAAGTTTTACCACTCAAAACCTAGAATTTCTAAGCAAAGCTTTACCACTGAAAACCAACAAGTTTGTGACAAAGCACTGAGCACAGCAGCATTGTCCAAACGTTTTGTGCCTGAGCTAGCAATGGACATTGCACTGGCCATCAATTTGGCACGGAGAAAGGACCGGTGGCGACACGTGGTGGGCATCGCCAAGGAGCTTGGAGTGGATTTGCGCAGAGTGAGTGGCGTTGATGGGCAGATGTTGGAATCTCAGAATGGGCACATCAGGGTCCACAAATCCCTGGTGAGGCTGAGCTGGACAGATTCTAAGTCCAAGCGAAGATGCGTCGGACACATCAAGCTTTCGAAGAAGCTGCGAGCCATGGCCCGGAAGGGCATGGTTAGTCCATGGAGCTGCTACGGGCGCAACAGATCGCATTCTGCTGCGCTGCACAAGGCACGAAAGCTGCTTGGCGGTGGCAAAGTGAAGAGCGTTCTCATCTTGGAAGATGACGTTGAGCTTCTTGCAGGTGGTCTTTCGAGGATCCAGAAGGCAAGGGCTTAAGCCGCTTGGGTCAATGCTGGTTCTCAGCGGCGTTGCCCAAGATTTGTGGGCCAAACAGACTTGTCGCGAGGAAGCGTTTGATGGGGTTCACTATGCTGAGCGGGTGTACCAATCACGTGCGTTTGTCGTCAGAGATGTGGAAGCTGTCGACTGCATCTTGGAAGGCCTCGACAACAAGAACTTGGTGGCTGACGGCCCGCGGCGCGGGCACGGGCCCACTTCTGTTGGGATGCCTTTTTCTTGAAGCTTGCAGCGATGACGCAAGGCGACTTTGGTTCAGATATTCTGGCAGACCAGAGTGGCGGGCAGAAGGGCTGGCTGTCGGCGTGGGCCACGGACTCCGCACTAACTTTGTGGAAACAATTTTGATTTACTCCTGTCCGCACACACCCTCCGCTTTCCCTTTATGTATGTGCGTAAAATTGTGATGCAAATCACGATTAGAAGACTCTCAGGCTTGAAGAACCACAAAGCGACACCACAAAACTCGCTGTGGCCAATAGCTTTGCGTCGACATCAGGGACGTTCCAGTGACGACATATCCGTTTCTGTCCTCGAGAAGTGAGACTCAACAAGCGACTGTGACTGTCCAAAAAGTACATAAGCGCTACCGACGGCAAACATTTTAAAGCACACCTATAATGTAATACATGAGTGCATCTTATGCAAGTAATATAGACGCTGTCTCACATGTGTGCAAGTAAAATGTCAGATAGCAATACTTGACTTTCAGTGAGGGGTATGAAACTTCAATATGGTTGGTTGTTCTATGTTTGTCTGATGAACTTCGGGTGGCGGTGGCCTTCTGGTCCGACTCACATCTTCTCACCAACCCGCGCGCCCTCCGCGTGGCGTTTCAGGCGGCGGTCAATGCCCAGGGCCGCAGCTTTAGCCTGGCGATCTCTCCCAGGATCGGAGATGAACAGACGCTGGGCGAACTGAGGGAATGTGACTGGTTAGTGGGACGGGACTCGTTGTGGGACTGCTTGGGGGAAGGTCCATGGACGAAACCGGTGCTATGAGGCGATGGCGATGGCGCGTGGCACGTTCTTCGTTGAAGAAGATGACACCCGAAAGAGGGTTTTTGGAACCATGAAGTTTTGGGAGCGATGTGGACATGACCATGCATGCGAGAAGCTTCTCACTATGCAAGAAACAGTCTCCGCCAGCGGTTTCAGAGTGGGGAGTTCTATGGAAGGAGAATCAAGATCCTTCGTTTGAGAAGGCCATGAGGATTTGTTGAAGTAGACTGTGCTATTGCAGTTGCTGTTGCATGCTATTGTTATTGTTCATTGTTTTTTTTTTCGGGAGGGACACAGAGTATTATTTGCTTTGGTCAAGCTGTTGACATTTTTTTGGTCCTTTCGGGGCGATCATAAGGTCTTGAACGATACCAGGGCAGCCTGTTCCGTGGCGTGGTTTCTAGATTGAATTCACCCTGCCATGTGGAGCAAGCTGTTTGGCCGCTTTGAGCTATGGCTTCACCCTGCCATGTATGTAAAGGTGAATCTGTAATAATATGGCAACATTGACCCCTGAAACCAACCCAATGTATGTAAATATTCCAGTCCCATGGAGCGTCTGGGTATAACATCAAAACCAAACTTTAGAGGCCAGTCACTTGCTGCAACAGCCACGCCTCAAAATAATTGTGTCACATAAAAGCGCCTCCCCAGCGCTTTTTTTCGGAGGCAAAACATGTAGTGTCCCTGCCATGGTACGAAGCCAAAGACTCTGACTTCGACTGCCTGCCCCCTCGGCTGTTTGGAACTCGCCCAAGGTATGCAGTGATGTATGACTCGAGCAAGGCGCTTTTCCTCGAGGGTGCCACGTACCTTTGAAGATCATCATTGGAACCAGTGGCACTTTCCAAGGGCTGCGGCGATGTGGATGGACGTTCTCTTCTCCCCAAAACTGACAGCACACCCTTCCAATTAGCCGGGTACGTATCTTTGAATTTTTTTAAGTGGTTTATTTCATATTTCCCAAAACTGACCGATCCTGCATGGCCTCCTACGCACAACACTTGTAGACCTGCATCCGATTCCGGCCCCCAAGGGGCAAAAAAAGGTAGCAGTGTCCTCTCAAACAGGCCGCTTTTGCGGCTGTTAGGCACGGTCCCACCGAGAGGGCGGCTGGATGCTTTCAGTAGAGACGTCATCATGATCTGAAGAAATTATATAGCAATGAAATGCAATGAACAACAATGAACAACATATTTTTAACATATTCATTTTATGAGTGTTTACACGGCCGACTGTTCATAGTTGAACAAATCTGGCAACCCACAGGCAAATTTGACACAAGTATATACCACCAGAATCCACCAGAACTATCCATTCAACAGTAGGCACATCGTGTCAGTGCATGATTCTACAACTGCAGAAGGAACCCAGATGACATCACCACAATGTCCCTTTAATCTTCAAAGGTCAATGTCAACCCTGTCCTCACGGCCAGTGACAAAGGACTGTCTATCTCAGCATGGAATCGAACCCCTAAGGCCACATATTTATAGCTGAACATGAATAGTCGCCCAACAGCTTATTTCCAGGTTCTAGTGCCATTGAATGCTACCGTTTGTGAACAGTATCCTGCAACACTTGTTGGCATACCCTGCAGCAAGTGGACTATAGCTCGCTCACTCGTGTGACCCCCCAAAAAGATGCGCGAGAAATCCCGCGGTCCATCGGTTCCCGCAGCCCTCCCAGGTATAGCCCACCTTGTGTGAAGTAACCAGAAACCTCTTTGTGCTGGTTTCCGATCGGAACACCCATTCCCCTATCACTCACGACACAACGTAGTCTCTTCCTGCGAACGACGTGTGGGAGAACGAGTCGAACGAGAGTCTCGTTCAAGGTATCCGGACAACAGCAGTGTCTACTCCAGACCGCCATACGCCTTCCATTTGCAAGTAGGCCGGGCCGGTGGTTTCAGCTGGTGGCGAAAAGGAAGGGACTGGAGATGACGTTTCTTTTGTGCTTGAGATGCAGTGCATTATAATTGGGTGCCGTGTGGGGGTGTCCAACATGAGGATTTTTCAGTCTTGCCCTCATACTTTGCGTGAGACATCTTGAGACCCAAACATGATGTACATGTACGTAGTATCTGACCTTAGTTCCAGGAACAAAAGGGCAGCCCATACAATGGACTAGATCATGGTCCATACTTGGATGGGAACACAGTCCCAGCGCTGAACAGTGAGCAGTCCAAGCAGTCCATGACACAACGTTCGTCCTGCGCAGCTCGGTGTGGAACGAAGGACGAACGCGTCGCAGTCGCTGCGAGCGGCGACGTGGACGCCCTCGGCGCAGGCGGTTCCTCCATGGTCATCGCCTCGACGCACACGTCGCCCTCCAGCGCCTCCAGCGAGCCGTGGCCGTGGAGAGTGAGGTGTGCCAAAGCCACAAGCATCGTAGATACATGGTGCAACCATGTGAACAAGATGGTGTGTGACATCATTCTGCTACAGCCGAATGTGTGTATTTCTGGAAAAAGAATAGACGCAAAGCGCAAACCTCTGGCCCTCTCCGCGATTCTGCGTGATTGTTCGTTTGAAAGGTCTTGCAGTCTTTGTGTTGCTGAGAATGAGAGAAAGCAGATTATTCTTTATTTTGATGCCATCTTCGGCAAGCTCCCCATCTTCGTGGAGAAACGGAAGCCGCAAGGACCCACTTGGGCCAGATAAAACATCGACACTTCCGGGTGAACCTCTCACTGGTGGCCGACTAGCTTGACCACGGGACAAAATGGAACGGGAGCCTCTGTTTCACTTCCCCCAAAGGGTTCACAAGGCTGACTTGGCTGATCTAGGTGGAGTGATCATGTGACATGTCTATACTGTATGGACTCTGGACTATAATATATCAACGCTCCAAACGGCTCCAAAGATGAAGGAGTTTATATTTTATGTCTGGTGGAGGTTGAACAATAATGAAGAGTCTACATTTCTGAAGAGGTTGTGGAAGAGATCAGGAATGACCTGGACCCAAACCCTTTTGGCTGGCTACCTTTGCTGCTTTGTCTTCCTAAGGAGATTGCTCAATATCCCTCGGTGATTTCTTGGATGGAGGCCTGAGAGACAAGGGCGCAATGAGAGACAAGGAACAATCAGCGAAATGTTGGGAGAACAGAAATGATCCAACCAGTGGGAGATCCACATATCCTTTGAGAGATCGCATTGAGTTTACGCGTAAACTTTGGGTGTTCTGTTCCTCCGGGCCGTGAGGAAATTTGCTGGATTCATTGGGGGAACATCCCTATCATGATAAGTATACCTAGATCTTCCAACTGTGCAACACGTCTGCCCTTTCATCAATAAAACCAGCCAAGTTTGGCAGAACTGTTGCATACATCGACATATGTTGGCCATGCCAATTCCCTCCTCCATCAAACCAGAAGGAGCACCCTTGGTTTCCACGTTTTTCGGCTAGATGCTTCATAGCCATGTTGACCTATGTTGACACCTTCCTGACTCCTTCATAGGCAACCTTCACGGCCGACTACTACATGGTGGCGGGCGACTACAACGCCGACGGGAGCTACTTTGATGAGGCGAGGTCTAGGGCTATTCGAGAGCCCAGGGCCGGGGGGACCGTCGTCACAAAAGCGAGCGAGCCATGCAAGCCGAGACCAAACCGAAGGAACGGATGGGGGAGTTGTTTGGGGGGATGGCCCATAGATAGTACAGATATGGTGCATCCGGTCCTCAGGAGTCTTGGAGTCTTGACTTCGAAGAGGTGTGCCAGCCGGGCCGAGTGAACTTTTTTTGGAAGGAGGCATTCCAGCACTAACATGGGAGTGGATGGCAGGGTCCCTTGGAAGACCGTGTTCCTCCACAAACAGGTGGAAAACTCCACTTCCATGTTAGTTCCAATATGTTCCAAGGAGAGTAGAGCTCTCGTTGGTTTTTCTTCTTGGCCCCAAGTGCTATTTGGTACTTCCAATACTGGTAGCTGCGGCTCCACTCTCAGTACCACAAGGACTACAGTAATTTGTCGGGAAAGACAAGAATCCGAGAGCCCATCAGAGATGCAGCGATATGAAAGAGTTCCTTTTATTGAACTTCGTCGAGGCAGACTCGTAGACCCTTGATAAACAAGCCCACTCGCATGAAGAAGTTTTGCAATCCGTGTTTGGGGGGTTCTTAATTCATCAAGATTCCATACACATTGTAGATCTTGCTGTCCGTGACTCTACTTTGGCACAGTCACCCCTCACTTCACCCTTGAATGAGTCAAAAGCAATGAACCCATCCGATGTCGCTGGTTCTTCTTCGGTCGTCTTCCACGCTTGCTTGCGCGATGCGCGCCTCACAGCATGAACGACCTGCCTTGCTTTGCCTCACACGTGTCGCTCACAAGCGCAGAGAGCGCGCTTGCTTGCGCAGGACAGCGACTGGACGGCGATTATGAACAGCATCCCCAGCTACTCCTTGCTGACGGGGACCCGATGCGACCCGCGGGGACCCGGGACGCGCACGCACGCGGCAGACACGCGGCAGACACGCGGCAGACACGCGGCAGACACGCGTCGCACGCAGCACGCACCGTGTAGTAGCACTGAACAGATCAGGTTTTTTCGGGGGCTTTTGGTTTTCGGAGTGGTGCAAGCAAATGACACACCAGCCAAGCATTGATAAGTACAGGTCTTGATCAAGATGTTGATCAAAAAATCCGATCAAGCATGATCAAACAAAACACCCGGCTTGTTTGAGATGTGTGAGCCCCACAATTTACATTTAGTTCCTCTCTGTCTCTCTCTCTCTCTCTCTTTCTATGTCTTTCTGTTCTTGTTTGTGCTGAAACCACCTGACGTGGGCAGGAACGAGATGGACACGACCTTGGCCTTGAGCAGCAACACCTATGACCCTCGGTGCGCGCGTTGAGCCAATATGTGCGGTTTTGCGACTCCAGAGGTGAAGTAGCAGCCATCTGGCAGCCACCGGGCCACCCCAAAAACGGAACTTCCTCACAGGGAACTGAGACTGGTGAGAAGTTCGGTGGTGGAGCTGAGGGCTGGTGCTTGTTTTCCTTTCTACAAATGAATCAGTCACCAGAAGGAGCCCACCCGATGGCCACCTGCCATCGAAGCTGCGGGACCGGTCGAAACAGAGGTCTTCGCGAAGAAATGTCACACGAAACATCACGAAACAGAGAAAAAAATTGCTCCTAGTAGCTTCTTGTGACTAGTAGTAGTCATGGCCTCCACCCTAGTAGTCATGGCATGTCATGGCCTCCACCCTAGT